CCTTCCTTCCTTCCTTCCCTCATCACACCACATCCATTTTCTGCGGCCAAGTCCTATCAGCTTACCTTCTAAGTATTGTCTCTATTCTACCTTTGTTTCTGCCTGTCACTGCCCCTCACAGGCCTCTTCCCGCCACCATGCTTGACCCCGTCAAGTCCACCCTTCACAGAGCTGCCCGTGTGGTCGACACAAGCAGCAACCCCGACCATTTCCCTGCTCTCCTTGAAAGCTTTCAGGTCCACAGTTCTTCTTCTCCCCTTTCCAAAGGCCCCACAAAGCCCTAGAACTCCAGCAAGCGCGTTTCACAACCCCCGACCTAAAAGACGAAAGCCAAGCTACTTACCATGGGCTGTGGTCTTCTGCATCCCACCCCTGAATACCAAACTCTTACGGTTCCCTTCACACACCGTAAGGGTTTCCACTGCCATGCTTCTGCTCTCCCCCCCCCAGCAGGAACTGCCTCTCCGCTCTACACCACTGCCTCCAACACACGCACACGCACGCACACCTGTATGTGTGCGCACCCATGCATATGCGCACGTGCACGCACATACACACGCACACACAGAGCCTGACCAACTGCTGTCTTCAAGGAAGACTTCTGACACGTAGAGATGTTCCATAAATCTTTGCAGAAGTTAATCCAGAACCTCGAGGACAAGGCTGAAGCACTGTATTTACTACAGTTAATAACAAGGAAGCACTGAAGGTTTCTGAGTAACAACGAAACGGCCAAAGCCGTAAGTGTAGGCTATTACTCTGGCAGCAAGATGCTGACTGTATTAGAGCAGAGGGCATCGGGAAGGAGGGACATCATCTCTGAATGCTGTTTAATTCAGCCAACATTTACTGAAGAAGAGAAGGCAGAATATTAATCACAGACTTTCAATAGATATTTGCTTAATGAATTAATAAATGTATGGAGCACCTCTAGGAAAAGGCAAACTGCTACGTATTAGGAGCAAAGCACAGTCCCTGTCCTCAAGGACACCGAGGAAAACAGACACAGTCTCAACTCAAAGGAGAGATGAATGCTCACCAGGGAGGTACAAAGAAAAATGTTGTGGTGACTCAAAGAGCTGGGAGATGGTTTTAGTTGAGACTGCAAGAGAATGCTTCATAAAGGAGACGGCATCTGAACTGGAACTTTCACAAGGAGGCCGGCCTTGAACATACGACGGTAGAAGAGAGAGAGACAGGGGACTCCGGGGACCCTGAGCCAAGGCCGGGCCGTGGCCACTCACCTGCATGAGCTCATGGCTTTCCAGAAGATCATTCTCCAGCATCTCCTGGGTAAGGCGCCCCATGGTGCTGTAGAATTCATCTGCTGTTTCACAGCATTCTATCTGCCTAGAAGCAGAAAGGACAGAGCAAGGATTTGTTTAGGACACCCATGCCGTCTATCAGGTACACGTTCCAGGTATGATAGGATATGTTGCCTCTTGCCATCAAATCAATCACATTAGCAATCAACAAAAGTCAAAATCCTGGGACACACTCACAATACAGCCTGCTGTATACAGAGAAAAAATACCAAAGGCAACTTACAGGTACTTATTACTGGATGAGTCCCTGTCTTTCCTACACAGCCTCCCAGTCTCAAAGCCCTACCTTTATTGCTTCCATGTGACACGTTTTTTACATCAGAATACCCACCACTGATGAGAAATCATAACCATGAAGTTAGGTTTGAAGAATGATTATTCCCAGTAGGAAATCAGTTGCTGTTAATCTACAGGCTGTGGTATCATGGACAGACTGAAACCAAACCACAGTGGAAATAAAAGATGAGAAATGCTAGAACTTTATCTGCATATTTCATCAGTCCACAGGATGTTTTCACGGGCAGAGTTTTTTCAGTTCTTCTCAGGGCACTGCTGCTAGCTGGAGATTGCAGCCTGCTTCTTGCATTTGGTTCTACATGTAAGTAAAGAATCTGTTCCTTGGCAACCTGTGAGGCAGGGAAGACTTTAATCCTCGAGGGCAAAGAAAAGGAGTCATCCAACACAAAGAGCTATGATGTCCTCTGTGTAGTAAGATGACTCTACTTGCCCACCAACCACAAGAGATATACTATGACATACGCTAATGTTGGGGGATTTTCATAGAGCCATCCCCCCCAAAATAAGATGATGGAAAAACTTCAGGCTCTGGAGTGCTGCTCAAATCTCGTTGCCACAATCAGGTAGATAAATAAATGAGATGAACTGCTGAGGTGTTATTACAAAAATACACAGTGGCATGTGGGCATCAATAAAAAAGTAGATAAGTTGCCCAGCCGGGCGTGGCTCAGCAGTTGAGCATCGACCTGGGATCCAGGCGATCAGGGTTCGATTCCTGGTCAGGGCACATGCCCGGGTTGCAGGCTCGATCAATGACTCTCTCATCATTGATGTTTCTATCTCTCTCTTTCCCTCTCCTTTCCTCTCTCTGAAATCAATAAAGATATATATATTTTTTTAAAAAGTAGATAAGTTTACCCTGGGGGATTAGGAAGAGAAATAATGCTGAAGATGAGTTTGGGAAAATATTGTCCAGGTTGACAAGGAAGAAAAAGCATTCCAAAGACATGCATGCAGGAGATGGCAGCAGGCCCTACCCAGGGATCTGCTAGTAGCTCCACATGAGCAGGAGAGAGCTGATGACAGCTGCAGGTAGAGAGCTGCAAAGAGAGGACTGCAAGAGCCTCGCCTGCCAGCTGGGCCCCTTCTGGGCAACTGTCACTGAATAGGGAATGTGGGAACAGATGTGCCCTTGGCAAGGTCAGTCTGGAGGTGGCATGGCGAGTGAGGGTGTGATGGGGAAACCAGGAAAGATACGTCAAGATAGGCCAGGCACGAGGTAACCAGGGAGCAAGCGAAAGCAACAGGGTCAGAGGAGAAAGGGCACGTAAAAGAGGTGCCGCTAAATGTGAGCCTGTGGTCTACAACTTCCGTAACCCAGAAGTTCCCTTGGTGTGAGAGGAAGACATTCAAGTTGCAGACGCAAGGGGAAAGGAGAGGTCCTGTGGATAACCATCTACAAGGCACATACGTTACTCAGGTATGCATAACTGGAGATTACCTATCTGCTGTTGATGATGATTTTTCCAAAGGAAAGTTTGTGGGGAAAGATCACAGGCACTTGAGTCAGAAAGATCTAGGATTAAGTCCCACCTGCTTCACAGAGCCATGGACAGGACGAATGAGATAACGTCCTTAAACTGCCCAACATAATGACGGCACTACAGGCACTTGATGGTATGATGTATGTTCGTTGCCTTTCCTTCTGCTTAACAAGTTGCACTTTCAAAGCATGTAGAATTATAATGAAAAAGGACTCTGAAAATTTAAAAGTCTACCTGTCTGATTCATATATCCCCTGAACTGCATAAACAGTAGCCATTTATTATCAGTATATTCGCATTATTAAAATCACAGATTCCACAGCCAAGAACCTGGGTTCAAAATCAGGCCCTTCCACTTCTAACCGGGTGACTGTGGACAATTAACTTCTCTGCGCCTCAGTTCCCACATCTGTAAAATGGGGATAATGATAGGATCTACCTCACAGGATGATGAGAGTACCAAATGAGTTAATTTTACATGTAAAGTGCAATGCCTGTCCATTGCAAGCACTCAATGTATATCAGTTTTAAAAGTGTAGCTATTATTATTTCAACGATGTGACATCCCTGGGATGATCATACGAATAAATTCTGATCCTACAGATAATGAATAGATGGCAATAAAATCAGAATCGCTTCTTTTCCTCCTTCCACATAATTAAGAACCAACTCAAAGTGACTATAACTGATGGGCCTACAGTAAAGGGCTTTATTATTCTAACCCCATGAGCTAGTTACTCAGTAAGTGGACTATCACCCCAGAGGAACTTTCACAACTCAAAGAACTTACAAAACGTAGGCTGTTTTACTGACTATGTACCAAGCATCATGCTAGACACCTTATACATATTATCTCATTTAATTTCGTCACAGCCCTGAAAGGCCAAACAAAATAAATAATAAAGATTCAAACAAAAATCCAAATTGTGGTAATAACCAACAAATCTACCTACTCCTTTCCAGGCCTTACAGTCCCTCATGCACCTAAGTCTCCCTCTTCGCAAGTAGTTTCCAGAGAGATGCTAACAAGAAGTAAACCAGCCGGGATAAGCGCTGAGGAGGGGGAGAATAGCAGGTCTAAAAAAGCCTGCCACCTTCCTCTAAAGTAGATTCCATCTGCCCCCAGCAATGAAGAATGTGCCAGCTGAGCCCCGGCCCGTGTGGCTAAGTGGTTAGAGCATTGGCTCGCACACTGAGGGGTCTCAGGTTTGGTTCCCAGCCAAGGGCACGTATCTGGGTTGCAGGATTGGCCCCTGACCCGGGTGGGGGCACATGCGGGAGGCAACCAATCAATGTGTCTCTCTCACATCTATGTTTCTCTCCCCCCCCCCTTCCTTTTGCTCTCTCTAAAAAGAAGCAATGGAAAAAATATCCTCAGGTGAAGATTAACAACAACAAAAAGAACGTGCCAGCTGACATCCCTGAAGGCTGAAGCCACAGCATAAAGTTCACAAGGCTCTCTTCTCCGAGGCTTTGAACACCGATGCCTTACACGTTAGAGCCCAAAGACTGCTCCAGGCCCCGACACCACAGAACAGAAGAGAACGGCAAAGTCACTTACTCTCCCAACTTTGCCCAGATAGCCAGCGACACCCGTAGGATGATTTCCGAACCTTCAAAAAAGACGGAATCCCAGATCTTTAAAACGGTGTGGTTAGGGAGGCACGTGGCGAAGAGAGTCAGAAACCACTGCATGGTGAAGACGTTCGTGAGCGGGGGCTCGTATCCACCTGAAACAAAGCAAACGCTCCATTTCTTCAGAATCGACAGTTTACAAGATATACAAAGACCCTCGCTCAGTCTCCCACGTCCACGCAAATATGCTCCATTTCCTGACTGGTTTGTTTACACGGCTAAATTCTGGTTCTTTCCTCTTTTCCCCTTCCTTTTTCTAGAAGAACATAGGTGTGTTTAATAAAAATCTCAATAATAGGAACTTCAGAATTCTTTATGATATTTCAGAAATATTAACCTAATACTTAATTTGGTCCTACCTATTATGGGATGCTCAAAATTAAGGAGAATGTTTTCCTCACCAAAAATGAGGTAAATAGAAAGGATTTTAGTGTCTCTCCAAAGCAAATGCTGATATTCAAAATATCCTAAAGCCCACTTTTATTCAAAAGTATAAAAGTAAAATTGTTCATTAGGAATTACTTGTTTAGTTTTTAAATTATACACAGTTCTCAGACCACAATGGAATTAAACTAGAAATCAATTACAGAAAGATAGCTGGGAAAACACCCAAATGTCTAGAGATTAAACAACATGAAATTTTTAAATATGTTGAACTAAACTACACACAGTTTTAAATATCTGGGATCCAGGTCACTTTGAAGTTTCTGAATTCACTAAAACACACAGAGCTCCCTCTCATTTCCTGTGATGGTATAAGTAAGTATTTTAATAAAATAATATGTACATATTTGGACTGATCCTCCCTCCAAATTACAGTCAGAATGTGCATTTACCCAAGTATACGCAAAAAGAGATCTGTTCTCCTTCACTCATTTTCTTCCTTCTTGCCTATGAACAAAGGGAGCATCTTTTTTCAGAGACTGGGATCTGAGGTCACCTCTTGTAGGCAAATGCAGACCATTTGGGAAAAAATATGAAGCCCAGCAAAGTGTGTCTGACTATGGGACAGGCAAGGCTGGTCTATATGGAAGCCTTATGAAATCCACACAGGTGCATAATTATACTGCACAGCCAAATTAAATGAGAAGATTATGCAAATGATTTAGAGGGAAATGCTCAGACACACCCAGGTGTCACTAAAATTTCCAGTGTATTTTAATCACAGATTAGGTCTTCAAAATCATTTAATATTTTTCCACAATAAAGATAAATTTAAAAAATAAATAAGTAAATCTCTGTCTGTGATATAAGTCACAAATTTCTAAAAGATAAAAAATTAAAAAATAATAAATGTGTGGTCAGTAACTGGCAACCATTTACAGGAAACACAACAAACTTCTGACCCTTCTTTCTGATCTGAGCACAGCCAGGGAACTGCAAGCAGTGGGTGTAACTACAGCACTAGCTCAGGTAGTGTGGAGCGTTGGGTGATGCCTGCTAGATAGCGGTGACTCCGAGCTGTTGCAGAGCTGTCTCCATCACCACCTTACTCAACCCAGTACCTTCCTCCAGGGTTCAGATTCTACCTGGAGGTCCAGAAGAGCCTTCTCCAGCAAGAACTGGCCCATTCATCTCAAGTAAATCTATAAACCCTTAGCATAAACCAATAAAAAGAACATTAAACATCTCAATTCAAATTATTTCCTATAACTTTATGAAAATACATATTCCATTCTCCATAACCTCCATGCTTCAGGGAAAACCACAGTTTGTGCTAAATTATACCTGTAGCTCAGTTTTAAAGATCCTATAGGTTTGGTGACAATTGGGTGGCAAGACACGTACACCATCCTTCATCTAAAAGACAATATATTTAGTGGTTGATCTGGTACTGGTGAAGTATGAGGTTCTTGACCAACTTTCTATGACCATTCAAAGGTACAACATGTGGACGTATGTTGGTTTTTCTTTAGTTTTGTTTCTATTCTCTAAAAATCTATTTCATTGCATTAATCTCTCACCAACAGAAATACCTGAAAAGATGTATTTCCATTCAAGGTTTAGGCTCTTATGTACAGTGGAATCAGAGAAGTAAAATTTTCAAAAGTATAATAGCACTGAATCATCACTACCTCCACTCTCCTTATTTGCAGTTTTCTGAAGAGTATCCAGGTGCTGAGATAATTCTGGGAGCTTCAGTCTCAAGAGGTCTCGGAAGACAGCCATATCCACAGACAATGCCCGGAGATTATTGACAAAATAGCTTTCAGGAAGTACCTTATCAATAAGGTAAATCATAATCTGAAGAAAAAGATAAAAAACACATTCAAATGGTAAAATGTAGTTAGCCAAAGCACACTACCGTTTAACTGTGTCAGTACGAAATGTTCTGGATTTTCAAGGCTCATCTCCACTCTGGGTAAAGAGTGGGTGGGATCATTATCTAAGTAAGTTACCAAAGCAGCTCAGACCCACAGTCTGCTGCAAGACCTGCGTCCATCCGTAAGTAACTGTAATTACACAACCCTCAGCCTCACTCTGAGAAGTAAGTGATGGAGCACAAGCTTCAGCAGCAGCCAGCAGGAATCTCAACATTGGCTCCTTGCTGTCTGTAGTTTTACAACCTTACTATGAAAAACAAGAGCTGACCCATCACAAAACACCCTGAAGCCGGTCTCAGGATTCACTTACCATCAACCTGGGTTATTAGAACAACTGATGGTGGCTTTTTGTCCACTTTCCATTCCTGGGAGAAGGCAATGAGGTTTTGTTTGAACAAATGGCACTTTCAAAATCTGGATTTCTTCCATAAGATTGTCTCTTAAGTTCTTTGAATTACTATTGTCATTCTTTTCTATCTGTGTTACCTTTTCTAAGATGTCAAGAACCACTAGAATGGCCCCGCAAAACACACACAAGTTCTACATGTCAATCTCTGGTCCATCCTGTCAGCATGCATGCTCTGCGGATGCCCTCCCCACTGGAAGACCCGCTCATTCCCCAGAGCACAAGAAAACCAAAATTAAGAACAAAATCATAGCTGGCCCTATATGTTAGTGGAAAGTAGCTGGCTCACATTTTGATTGTCATTACATAGCAAAACCCAATTTCCCCCCAAAATTATTTCCTAGACCTACCAAAGGCCCATTTTTTTCACTCAGCCCTGGCCTATAATTTCTACTTTTAGGGTCATAGTTTTGACTAAGTCAATAACGGCGGGGACACATTCTCAAGAAGGCCCCTCTGAGGCTTTTATTATAGAAGAGGGAAGGCCCAGGGAGCTGCGTTAGCCTGCTTATGTAGACACAGAATTCACCAGGTAAATGTATTGTCACTCTGGAAACAGGAGCTTAGCAATAAAAAGAGCATGCTCAATCTGTCTAGGGAGGAGGTCCTGGAGAGCCCAGGCCAGGTGAGGTGGGACAGCAGGTTTCCAGCAGATACAGTGCCCTGGGAGAGACTTCGTATGCTATGGGTAAGAAGAGGAGGGATCTACCAGATCATGAAGGCAAAATTTAAAGGTAACAGTCTATTATTGCACTTTTCATCTAGGATAGGTTATATAAGGCCAAGAAAAATATTTAAGTTTTTTTAAATCCTCACTTTGAGGATATTTTTCCATTG